AGTGTAACATTGGTGGGTTAAGTCCGTGTAACATTCGTTATTTATGTCAGTGTAACATTGGTAAGTTATGTCAGTGTAATGTTGGTAGGTTATGTCTGTGTAATGTTGGTAGGTTGTGTCAGTGTAACATTAGTAGGTTATGTCAATGTAACATTGGTTTGTTTTGTCAGTGTAACATTGGTAGGTTATGTCAGTGTAACATTGGTAGTTTATGTCAGTGCAACATTAGTAGGTTAGGTCAGTGTAACATTGGTAGGTTATGTCAGTGTAACATTGGGAGGTTTTGTCTGTGTAACATTGGTAGGTTATGTCTGTGTAACATTGGTAGGTTATGTCAGTGTAACATTTGCAAGTTATGTCAGAGTTACATTCGTTATTTATGTCAGTGTTACATTGGTAATTTATATCAGTACAACATTGGTAGGTTATGTCAGTGTAACATTGGTTATTTATGTTAGTGTAACATTGGTAGGTTATGTCAGTGCAACATTGGTATGTATGTCAGTGTAACATTGGCTATTTATGTCAGTGTTACATTGGTAATTTATGTCAGTACAACATTGGTAGGTTATGTCAGTGTACCATTGGTAGGTTATGTCAGTGTAACATTGGTAGGTTATGTCAGTGTAACATTCGTAGGTTATGTCAGTGTAACATTGATAGGTTATGCCAGTGTAACATTGGTAGGTTATGTCAGTGTAACATTGGTAGGTTAAGTCAGTGTAACATTCGTAGGTTATGTCAGTGTAACATTGGTAGGGTATTTCAGTGTAACATTGGTAGGTTATGTCAGTGTAGCATTGGTAGATTATGTCAGTGTAACATTGGTAGGTTATGACAGTGTAACATTGGTAGGTTATGTCAGTGCAACATTGGTATGTATGTCAGTGTAACATTGGCTATTTATGTCAGGGTTACATTGGTAATTTATGTCAGTACAACATTGGTAGGCTATGTCAGTGTACCATTGGTAGGTTATGTCAGTGTAACATTGATAGGTTATGCCAGTGTAACATTGGTAGGTCATGTCAGTGTAACATTTGCAAGTTATGTCAGAGTAACATTCGTTGTTTATGTCAGTGTTACATTGGTGATTTATATCAGTACAACATTGGTAGGTTATGTCAGTGTAACATCGGTAGGTTATGTCTGTGTTATGTTGGTAGGTTATGTCTGTGTAATGTTGGTATGTTGTGTCAGTGTAACATTGGTAGGTAATGTCAGTGTAACATTGGTAATTTATGTCAGTGTAACATTTGCAAGTTATGTCAGAGTAACATTCGTTGTTTATGTCAGTGTTACATTGGTGATTTATATCAGTACAACATTGGTAGGTTATGTCAGTGTACCATTGGTGGGTTATGTCAGTGTAACATTGGTAGGTTAAGTCAGTGTAACATTCGTAGGTTATGTCAGTGTAACATTGGTAGGTTATTTCTGTGTAACATTGGTAGGTTATGTCAGTGTAGCATTGGTAGATTATGTCAGTGTAACATTGGTAGGTTATGACAGTGTAACATTGGTAGGTTATGTCAGTGGAACATTGGTTATTTATGTCAGTGTTACATTGGTAATTTATATCAGGACAACATTGGTAGGTTATGTCAGTGTAACATCGGTAGGTTATGTCTGTGTTATGTTGGTAGGTTATGTCTGTGTAATGTTGGTAGGTTGTGTCAGTGTAACATTAGTAGGTTATGTCAATGTAACATTGGTTTGTTTTGTCAGTGTAACATTGGTAGGTTATGTCACTGTAACATTTGCAAGTTATGTCAGAGTAACATTCGTTGTTTATGTCAGTGTTACATTGGTAATTTATATCAGTACAACATTGGTAGGTTATGTCAGTGTAACATCGGTAGGTTATGTCTGTGTTATGTTGGTAGGTTATGTCTGTGTAATGTTGTAGGTCATGTCAGTGTAACATTGGTAGGTTATGTCTGTGTACCATTGGTAGGTTATGTCTGTGTAACATTGGTAGGCTATGTCAGTGTAACATTGGTAGGTTATTTCAGTGTAACATTGGTAGGTTATGTCAGGGTAACATTCGTAGGTTATGTCAGTGTAACATTGGTAGGGTATTTCAGTGTAACATTGGTAGGTTATGTCTGTGTAACGTTGGTAGGTTATGTCAGTGTAACATTGGTGGGTTAAGTCCGTGTAACATTCGTTATTTATGTCAGTGTAACATTGGTGAGTTATGTCAGTGTAATGTTGGTAGGTTATGTCTGTGTAATGTTGTAGGTTATGTCAGTGTAACATTGGTAGGTTATCTCAGTGTAACATTGGTAGGTTATGTCAGTGCAACATTGGTATGTATGTCAGTGTAACATTGGCTATTTATGTCAGGGTTACATTGGTAATTTATGTCAGTACAACATTGGTAGGCTATGTCAGTGTACCATTGGTAGGTTATGTCAGTGTAACATTGATAGGTTATGCCAGTGGAACATTGGTAGGTTATGTCAGTGTAACATCGGTAGGTTATGTCTGTGTTATGTTGGTAGGTTATGTCTGTGTAATGTTGTAGGTCATGTCAGTGTAACATTGGTAGGTTATGTCTGTGTAACATTGGTAGGTTATGTCAGTGTAACATTGGTAGGTTATTTCAGTGTAACATTGGTAGGTTATGTCAGTGTAACATTGGTTATTTATGTCAGTGTTACATTGGTAATTTATGTCAGTGCAACATTGGTAGGTATGTCAGTGTAACATTGGTAGGTTATGTCAGTGTTACATTGGTAATTTATTACAGTGCAACATTGGTGGGTTATGTCAGTGTAACGTTAATGATTTATGTCAGTGTAACATTGGTAGATTATGTCAGTGTAATGTTGATAGGTAATGTCAGTGTAACATTGGTAGGTTATGTCTGTGAAATGTTAGTAGGTTATGTCAGTGTAACATTTGCAAGTCATGTCAGTGTAACGCTAATGATTTCTGTCAATATAATGTTGATAGGTTATGTCAGTGTAACATTGGTAGGTTATGTCAGTGTAACATTGGTAGGTTATGTCTGTGAAATGTTGGTAGGTTATTTCAGTGTAACATTCGCTTCGGTAGGTTATGCTAAGTATGTAGCAAGGAAGTTTACCAACAGAAATATGATTCTTATTAGTCTTGCCCGTCTGCCTCGATACGAAAAAAATATATAATGATTGTATGGGCGGATTGGTCGAGTGGTTAAAACTCCGGCCTTCCAAGCAGGCGGCCGGGGTTCGATCCCCGAAGTCGCCGTAAGCATGGAATATTCAGAGAAAGTGTTTTTCTTCTGCCCACACAACTCCAACAACCCAGGTGGAGTATAAAATGGTCTGGGGTGGGTTTTGCGGTATCTGTGCTGTAGCATTCAAGTGAGGTGGCACTATAAATGATACCGTTGGAAGCACGGTCCCACTACAAGCAGAACACAATGCATCTCCAGCACACACACATGCACACACACATGCACACACACATAGGGAGATATTAGTCAGGTGGCATAGGACTAGTAGTTCCCGCCTGATAAGGAAGATCCTGCGAATTCCTCAATATTGTATTGATTATTATATATGCTAATTGTATTGACTGTATAAAATTGTATATCTATGTACTGTAAAGCGCGTTAGAGTGGCTTTTGTTAGCTAAATAGGGCGCTATATCAAATGTTGTATATTTATTTTATTTATTTTAGGAAACAATATAACTCATATTGTCGCCAATATATAAAAGGTACAAATGCACATAAAAGTGTGTTCATGTGTTCAGCTCGTGCTTATTAGTAATTTATGGAATTTTGTGTAGATAATTTTAATAAGGCCCTCAAACTCAAGCTATGCTCTTAATTAACACCTCATGCTACTTTATCTAGGTCGTGGTTATATACAGGTTTGTATCATACTTTCGAAAGAAGAGTCCAATTTTGCGACACGTCACGGCACCTCTTTCCAATTATGATTAGAGAAAGTCTGTGTTATGCTCCCAATGCGTATTACCGACCGAGTTTGCGTTCATATGGTAAATTAACCGCGATTTGAGTCGAATTTCTCGCTGTTTCGAACTACAATTAAAGTCTGATCGATAGGAAAACATTCAAAATTACAACTAATAAATCGAAGTAGAACAATTACCTTCGAGTCCACCTGCGGTGGCCTCTCAATTTTATCCACGTGCTCGCGATGAGAAAATTGTTCCCACGACAAACCCTGAAAATACAGTGTGACAATCTATAAATCTACTGTCTGTCTCGTTACAACGACACTAATTCTCAATATACAGGTATCAGACTCCCTCAACGGAGTTCTACAACCATTCATTTAAAAGGTTCGAAATATTGGACTTGGGTGAAGTACTTTTTAAAAAGTGCTTCACCCATGTCCAGTGTTTAGAACCTGTGTCAATAAATGCTTTTCATTTGCGATGTTATGTTGTCACCTAGGAAACGTCTTGTAAGTAAGTAAATCGCACTGCCATCCGTTGGAAATTTAACATTCATTTGGTCTTGGACGAATAAGTTTTTTTTAGAGAGTTGGTAAATGTTCATACGTCCAGGTAAGATGGGCGCAAATGACCCCTGCCTACAACGTCATGATATTATACCAACAGTTGCGGCGGTGATATCATTTTTTTGTGAAAGAAGTGAATATGTTACAATTGTTTGCGTGCTAAAAATAAGAACCTACTGAAAATGATTAGATTGCTTCGGTTGCAGAATATAAGCTGAACTAGAAACTTCTTTTGTTTTTCTGTTATATAATTGATTATAGATAGTTTTATATCATGGTATAATAGATAAATTGGAATTCTACAATGAGATGTATTATTTTTCCCAAATTTTCTCATCCCGATTGTTGATAATTTTTCGTTTTCTGTTCCCTTTTTTGTAGCGAGTGAAGATGAAGTTAAGTAATTTTTACCAGAAATATGAGAAGAGGGTCGGTGCCGTGTTCGAGAAATATGGGTCTTTAGCGACGTTACACCCCTGGTACCTCATCACGGGGTGTTTAATGCTAAACGCCCTGATGGCGATAGGGTTCATGAGGATGAAATTCGAAACGCACGTAGAAGCCTTGTACACGCCGATAGGAAGTCAGGCATATACGGACAGAGATAAAGTGGCGCGAATATTCCCAGATAAAACTGGGGTGAACTTCAACATGTTTAGCCTAGTCGACCTCGGTATGTATGGACAAGTGATGATACGGACTAAGGACGGCTCCACCATCCTCAACGAGACGTTCATTGAGGAGATAGAAATGATTGATAAGTTCATCAGTAACATCACTGTTACAGACGCTGCCAGTGGGGAGGAGAAGGCTTACCCAGATATCTGTGCGCTAAATAGTGACGGCTGCGGTCTCTTCGGTAAAATCATTTTTACAAAGTTATTTCGGTATCAAATGCATGCCAACAATATATCATTTCCCGAGTTTAACAGAGAAGCCATTTCACCGATCTTTGGCAATACAACTGTTAAAAATGGAACTTTGAATTTCGCATCCATGGTGAAACTGAGGTATTACCTTCGCACGGACACCCCTCGAAATAGATACTTCTCTCGAAAGTGGGAGCAAGTTTTTGTAGAAAGAATGAAGGATGTTGTCACCAACCTCACAGAAGTTGCGTATGAGAATTCAGAATCCTTAAATGTGGAACTGAATGGCAACACCGACGGACGCGATACCAGTCTTTTTTCTATAACGTTCACTATCATGCTGTTTTATGCTGGGTTCGCTACTTCCGGTGGGGATTGCGTATCACAGCGACAGAATCTAGGAAGAGCAGGGGTTCTTACAACTCTGATCAGTATTGCAGCCTCATTTGGACTCGTCAGTGCTTGTGGTGTCGAGTTTGTCAACATTGTAGGGGTGATGCCGTTTTTACTTGTCGGTAAGTTTGACGTCACTGCAGGTTTAACTGGGTTTTTTTTTTATATAATCGATACGTTAATTATCTTAAACGCTAAGTTTTGTTTGCATGTGAATTTCCAACAAAGTCTTTTTCCCCTGTCAAGCAAAACATTTAAATGGCCGGTGTCTCAACTCTAAACCGCTAAACCAACTCACCTAGTCACAGTGGGCCGAATCAGCAAAGTTATTTATCAAAAATCATAGAGACATTTCGCCCAATTGTACTCTAATACTAAAGGCAGTCAGGGGGAGGGGGGGGGGGGGGGTTGATGGGTTTACACATTCCGTCCCTTAGTGGATGTTAAAAAGGGGTCATAGAGATGACTCATCTGGTAGCCCCTTTCGTCTCTGTTCATCGAATCCCCTTTCCGCTTTACCCAAATAGAATTTTTCCCTGACTTTCCGGTTGTTTAATCACTTTTGAGTTGCTCCAGTCTATGGTGTGGATGTGTGTGTAAGCATGGTCTGTAATGGCTGATTATTGTTTTGTTTCTCCAATGTCTTCATTGTACTTACTGTTTCATGGCTTCAACGTCCTGCTGATGTTCTTTTTGGCGTGTCCCAAATGTATGGCCAGTTTCCCCGATGTATGTAAGGTTGCAGGTGTCAGGTGTTGCATGGAATTTGTTGTAATTCTTTATTTCTTTAACGAGGATTGCTTACAGCCCGGAGGCTACTAGATGCTTTCCTCATCATGGAATTTGGTACACCACCCCTGTTTGTCCTCTTTCGGCAATTTGTCTTTCGGATTAACTAATAGTTACTTGATGGTATTGGGTGGTCGCATTGCGAAACAATCCTGAAAGTGCCTCAGACACCCCTTTATGTATTGGAAAGTGACCTTGCCGTTGTTTTTTTCTCTCTGTATTTGTACGTTTTTGTTTCTTGGGGCCATTAGCATTGCTTTTATTTTCCATTTGTTTTTCTACATTTTTTTTCCGACTATTTCTCTCGGTGTTTGTACCATTTGTTTCTTGGGGCCTTTAGCATTGCTTTTATTTTCCATTTGTTTGTACGTTTTGTTTCTTGGGGCCTTTATCATTGCTTTTATTTTCCATTTGTTTGTACGTTTTGTTTCTTGAGGCCATTAGCATTGCTTTTATTTTCCATTTGTTTGTACGTTTGGTTTCTTGGGGCCTTTAGCATTTGCTTTTATTTTCCATTTGTTTTTACGTTTTGTTTCTTGGGGCCTTTAGCATTGCTTTTATTTTCCATTTGTTTGTACGTTTTGTTTCTTGGGGCCATTAGCATTGCTTTTATTTTCCATTTGTTTGTACATTTTGCATCTTTGGGCCATTAGCATCGCTTTTATTTTCCATTTGTTTTTCTACATTTTTTTTCGACATTTCGGGGTATTCACATGTTGTCTGGCCTGTTATACATGTCGCTTTTCAATTTCCATGACTTCCTGTTCAGTTATGATGTTCATGACTTCCTGTTCAGTTATGATGTCCATGACTTCCTGTTCAGTTACAATGTTCATGCATCTACCCAGGAAAGTAAGGACTACCCCCAACTTTAGATGCAACGAATGGTGTGGATTGAAGTTGAAGTACTGGTCTGTGTGAATTTTTTTTGTATACCAGCAATTTGATGGAACCGTCAGCTCCTCTTACGATAGGGTATCAAGGAAAGGGATTTTTCCCGTATGCCTTTTCTTCTGATGTAATTTTTATGGAGCCTGTATAATCCGCCTGGTTTAAGTGAGTTGATAGGTTGTTTACCTCACCTTTCTCGAATACTTCCAAGATATCAACATACATTTTCCATAGTTTAGGACGACACTCAATCGGAAGAGTTGTGATGGCCTCCTGCTTCAGATGCTCCATAAATAAATTGGCAGCAATGAGTGATACTGAGCTCCCCATTGATGCCCCAAACTTTTGCTTGTAAATTTTGCCACTGAAAGAGAAATACGTTTAGTTTAGTATAAACTCCAACAACCCAATGATGTTGTCAACAGGAAGACTTGTTCTCTTCTTCAGGATATTGCATAATATAGGAGTGCAATTGGGCGAACTGTCTTTGTGATTTTTGGCAGCTGACTTTACCGATTCGGCCCACTGTTGCTTAGTGAGTTGTTTTCAGTGGTTTATGGTCGAGACACCGGTCATTTACACTTTCTGCTTGACAAAGGAAACAAAGGTTTTCGATAATTCGCAAATTAAGTTTTCAATTCCTATTTGTTTTTCAAAACTTTCGCCTTATTATTCAAACCAAACTGATGAATCTTATTCCGATTAATTATTTTGTGTGTAAAGGATTTCTACCGTAAATATGACACTAAAGGATCGTTACATCTTCGCCACCGTTATCATTATACCTGTGTGTGAGTGTCTTTATAACTATGGTACATGTTAGTATTGGATCTTTGCTATAATAACGATAATTGTACATAAAGGATATCTGTTATTATTATAGTACTCATTGTGTGTGAAGCACCTTTATCATAAATAAAGTACTTATGAGAAATGCATTTAAACTTCATTTGTAAAATAAAATCATTCGCGTATACCGTAACCATTGTATTTGCTGTGTTTGATCATGAAAATTGTTTGTAAAACTCTTAACTAAACTATAGTTCTGGTAAATAGCGGTTGTAGTAGTAACCTCCTCAACAGGTAAAGTGAATAAGCAATATATAGCTATCAGCAACTTAACTTTTGCGAAAGTTTATTATCCAAATCACTTTGAAACCTAAGATAAGCTACATTTATTATTGAATAACGCATATAGAATCATATCTTTCAACAAGTGATGACGTCATGTGTTATTGTTGTTATATATATATGATTGTCGCAGTAATAGCTCACAAGAGCTCACGTTTCTGGTTTCCATGTATTCGGCTCTAGACACGTTTCCTTTGTGTTGTACGTTCCTGTCATTTAAATACAGACATTAAATATGATACACGTACAATATGAATAATGAAAAGGAAGTATGAATATTAATGACTTCACATCTGCACGGCATTTGCATTTGCATATGTAAATGAGTAACATTAACAGAGTTCATATCTAAAGTATGTTATATTCTAATGCAAAGGTGTGTTGGAATAGGGCTTAATATAAACATGAGCATCGAGAAAATTATAACAGTGAATAGAATAAAACCCGAACATCGCGAAAACTATAACAGGGCGTAGTATGAATCCGAACGTCGAGAAAACTATAACAAGGCATAGTATATATCCGGACATCGAGAAAACTGTAACAAGGAATAGTATAAATCCGAACATCGAGAAATCTATAACAAGGAATAAAATAAACCCGAACATCGAGAAAATTAAAACAGGAAATAGTGTAAATCCGAACATCGAGAAAATTATAACATAGATTAGTATAAATCCGAACATCGAGAAAACTATAACAAGGATTAGTATAAATCCGAACATCGAGAAAAATTATAACAAGGAATAAAATAAACCCGAACATCGAGAAAATTATAACAAGGAATAAAATAAACCCGAACATCGAGAAAACTATAACAAGAAATA